GTGACCTGGCTGAAGTCGGACGCTTAACCGACTGCGCCACCCAGGCGCCCCACTAATCTTTATTAATTTTTGAGAGAGAGAGACAACGCATGAACAGGGGAGGAGCAGAGAGAGAGGGAGACACAGAATCTGAAGCAGGCTCCAGGCTCTGAGCTGTCAGCACAGAGCCTGACACAGGGCTCGAACTCATGCACTGTGATATCATGACCTGAGCCGAAGTCAGTCAGTCAATCGACTGAGCCACCCAGGCGCCCCTAAAAAATTTTTTTTTTTTAAATTTTGAGAGAGAGAGACAGAGTGCAAGTGGGGGAGGGGCAGAGAGAGAGGGAGACACAGAATCTGAAGCAGGCTCCAGGCTCTGAGCTGTCAGCACAGAGCCCGATGCAGACCTCGAACTCATGAACAATGAGATCATGACCTGACCTGAGCTGAAGTTGGCTGATTAACCGACTGAGCCACCCAGGTGTCCCTGAAAAGTTTTTTTAATGCTCTTACCTTAAATTTACTAAAATTGGTTTCATTCGTAGACTATTATTGAATGAACCTCTTTTTGTTTGTTTGTTTTTGTTTGGTTGTCCAGGAGCATGAGCTTGGCCTGCCCCACAGCTTTGGACATGACAGTTCTCTGTCCAACAATAGACCTCTCCTTTTACCTTTTTTTCCAGTCTCTGCAACCAAGCTTTGAAAAGTAAACATCTTGTAGAAACAGTGTGATGCAGTAGAAAGTACCTAGAACTTCAAGTCAGAAAATGTGATTTTAAGAACCAAAGGCATTTCAACTAGCTTTGTGATTATAGATCCGTCAATTTTCCTTTCTGAGCCTTAGTATCCTTATTTGTAGAAAGGGGATAAAAGCTCTTGCTTCATAAGGCTTAATATTATTATTACTAATAATGTTAATAAATAATAATGAATATATATTGCTAGATTACTAACCTTTATAGAGGTTTTTACAGTTTACAAAGCACTTTTGTATGTAATAATTATTTAGGACTATATCTATATCTATATCTATATCTATATCTATATCTATGAAAGGACTTTGTAAATTCTGAAGTACTATGTGAATATTAGTTGATATTTTTATAACCACCTGAACATGAATTAGTGACTCTTACCAGCTTCAGTTTTTTGAATGATGAATCAGGGTTTTCAAAATTCAGATAATGCATTTAACTTCTGATAAGCTAAAATAGAAATTTTGGAATGTCTTCTGAGTAATGTTAAGATTTATTTATAATTGCAATAATGTCTGGTTTCTATATTTTTATTCTTATTACTGAAAGAAATAGAGG